CCCTGCCTCCGCGGGCCAATGAGCGCGTGGGGGCCGGCGGCACCCGGCCGTATTGTTCGTGGCGCAGGGTCTGGCATCGCGCGCGGGCTCTGGGCGCGTAGGTCTCCCGGCGCCCGCCGGCCCCAGGCGGAGGAAGGAAACGCACAGCCGCCCGGATAAGTGCTGTGGGGGCCCCCAGTCCTGCTAGGCCGGGGCGCGGCTCCCTCCTGGCAGTGTTTTCCGGGCACCAAGCCATTGTTTGGACACGGGAGGGAAGTGGGAACGGGGCGCCACGGCCTCCGCCTCCCGGCGCTTGGAGCCGGCCCCGCCCGCCCTCGCGCATTCTCTGGGTCTGAAGCAAGGCTCCCTATTTATTGTGTGCGGGAGCAAAAGGGGCCGGGCTGGGGCAGAAGCAGGAGAGAAGTTTTTTTGGGATCACGGACAGCCCCAAAAGAGCATCTCAGTTTCTTCGCAGAGGACAGAGGGGACGGTGCGTCCACTGAACACGGCCGCCGGGCTGAAGAAACGCTGCCAGCTGCTCGGACTTGCCAACCTGCCGAAAAGGGGAAATCCAACTCAAGTTTTGGGGCGCATGGAGGGAGACAAGCCTTTGCAACTTAATTCCACGATTTTAAGGAAACGAATGTTGAGGAGAGGACAGCGAGTAAACGTGTTTGGAACCTAGGACTGAGTTTTCTCGCAGTGGTATTCCAGGTGGCCTTTCGGATCAATTGGCCGGCACAGAAAGGACACCGGGCCACATGAGAGAACTGGACCTGCGGCTGAGGTCCTCGGCCCCAGATGACCACGTACATCAAGTAGATCTTGAGTCAGAGGAAATGAAGCCCAGGATCAGAAGAGAGTTAGGTTGACCTTTCTGTGCATGGAGCCTTCACTACCCAGTGGCTGAGCGCTGGGCAGCTAGCGGAAAGGTCTGAGGTTCAAACCCACCCTCTGCCGGAGAGGGATGTGGCAGTCGCTTCCCTAAGGTGACGGCTTTGGAAATCCTCTAACGAGCAGTTCTGCTCTGTCCTAGACGGTGGCTTTTGTCAGTGAGTAACTTTATTATCTGCATCAATACAATAACTCGATGAAAATGCAGTTTCTGGTTTTATGTTTCTACCTTGGATGCCTGGCGAAGTCCTCTTTCTGTTAAGCAAATTAAAAAGCCGTTTCTTGTTCCAGGAGACTGTCTAAATGTAATTTGGATCATTAAAACCACATTTGTAAAGGATTCTGCGGAAGAAAATGTCTTTTTTTCTTTCCTAATGGAAAGGCCGACAGTAGACAATTGCTCACCTTAGCTGGGATTTTAAACCTAAGGTGCAGTTCATTTGGTTAAAAGTTCATTGGCTCTTGAGAGAACGTATGATCTTGGGAGGCTTGCAAACTCAGATATTGTTTCTGAAAGAGGGAAGAGTGGACCAGGAATGCTTGCTACCTGAGAGGCAGCTGCATACTTTTCTAGGCAGTTTTTCTCCCTGGAATTGGAATTTATACTGGCAGTCAGATTTTGATGGGAAATTTTGCTTCTGCTTTGTGATCTGTGGGATTTCAGGTACTCGGCTTTTTATTTTCGCCCTTTGTGAGCCTTTAAGAAAGAGAATTCCTTCTTTCCTGAGACACATTTGCCTGAAATTTGACCACAAATGGAAAAGTCCGTCTTGTGGCAGGTTTAAGGTGCACACTCTTCACCCGACTTCTGACACCGAGCTCGGTGAGGGGAATGGTATTTGTTGCTGTCAAAAGCTTACTTGGAGAATTACTGCTGACAGATTTGACGAGCATGACGTTTCCTCAGCTGAGCACAGCGAGGGCATGGTCCAAAAGTCGCGAACTGTTCCTTCCAAATAAAACCAGGACGAATGCGATAAAAAAGAATCCCAGGGGTGCAGCTGGTCAGAACAGGGCGCTGGGCTGAAACAGACCCTGTTTTCTGGATTGAGGGACATGTTGGTTGTAGGTTTGGCGTTTGGTTGGGTTTTTTTTTTTTATCTTTGTTGTTTGTGTGTGTGTGTTTTTGAGGGACACGTTTTAAGAATTATTGAGACAAATTAGGATCAATTGTCTCATTGTTCCCTTAGCAAATATTAACTTGGAGCTCTGGTGGCCTGGTGCTGCACTGCAATCCTGAAGGTGTGTGGTTCAAACCCAGCAGCTGCTCCGGGGGAGAAAGATGGGCAGTCTCCTCCCAAGCAATTAACTGACTCTGAAACCCACCAGACGGTCACCTTTGGGTTGGTTCCAACCCGTCGGTACACAGCAATAAGAAGCCCTTTTAAGATGCCAGAGTGGATAACAGTGCTTTCTAGAACATTCTGTGCCATGTCTACACTGGCCACCACCGTGGCCTCTGTGCATACTTGACTAACAAGTACATGGATGGGGAACGGACATTTTGGTTTTATTTCATTTTAACTTAGTAAAATTAAAATAGACATGTGGTATGGAGATCTGCAGAAAAGAAATAAACAGGTTTTCTGTAGCAGACTTAGAACTCTGGCTTAGGGGGTGGAGAGTGTTGCTGCCGACCCAAAGGCGAGTGGTTCAAATCCACCAGCGGCTCTGAGGAAGTAAGATGGGCATCTCCTTCCATGTGATTTGCAGCCTGTGAAAACCCCCTAGAGGGTCAGCTATGAGCCAGTTCTGACTCCACAGTCGGAGAGTTTTGACAGGCTTAAATCAGACGTTTGTTCGATAAATAAGGTTGAAACCACTTTCCGTTTAAGTGAAAGTAACTTAGTAATTTAAATCGATCCTGGAACTGGAACAATTTAACTCCACTTACAAGTAGTGTACAAGCAGTTGTGGGAATGTTTAAAACTTGTAAAAAGAAAGAAATCGAAATTCCCGCACACGAGCGCAGTGGGAGCAAACAATGGCTTCTCGATGTGTTCCTTCTACGTGAGGGGTGACACCAGAGACAACAGCTCACTGATGTTTGCATGACCACTGACCACGGAGAGCGTGCCGACCTGCTGCTGCTGTGTGACCGCGAACACGGGGACAGAAAGCTAGAAGGACATGAGCAGGTGGGGGTGGTGTCTCAAATCCTGGAAGAGTCTGGAATTATGTCAAGCTAGTGACCCTGCCAAGCCAACTTTGGCAAGTAAAGCCCGATAATGTTAATTACATCTCAAAAAAACAGTTCCACAGACAGCTCTTAGTGTAAGAACAAGGGCGGGCTTCCGCAAACAGCCGAAAGGAGTAAACTGTTGGGTCCACCTGGGGACCGTCCAACCCTCTGCCTGCAGCCTGTTCCGTCTGCAGTCTGGCACAGGGCGTGGGGGCAGGGAGAGCGTGTATGTATGCCGACAAGCGCAGGATTTCAGATTTAACGTGATGGCTTTGCCCACACTTCCAGCCGGACTGAGGTGTGACCAGCAGGCTAGGCTGCTCTCTTACCCTGTGTGGATACGTTAGATAAATGTTGTAAATATAGCTCGCAGTGTTTATGTACCAGAGCTCAAGGAAAAATAAGCAAGACTCCTGGCTTGCAGGGGTTCTATGTGGGTAAAAATCCCCAGGGCATGAAGGACAAGTAACAAAGACCCTTAACTCCCTTCCACCTCCCCACCCTCATCCCCTGGCAGGCTGCAAAGGTACCTGAGGACACTGGCAGCACCCACACTGCTGAGAGCAGCTTCCAGGGAGCCCTGTCTCCACATCTCCCATTTTGGCCTGGTGGGGCTGGGAAGGGGACAGTGGGGCCTCCGCGGGAAGTCCTCACCTTCCAGGCAGTGCTCCCACCTGTCTGCCGGTGAGTGGAGGCTGGCTTCCTGCTCGGATGCTGAAGTTTGAGTGGAGCATCCAGACTCAGAGACACCAGGGAGAAAGGCCTGGAGACCCACTTCTGAAAGTAGCCAGTGAAAATCCTATAAGGTTATAAGAGTCCGACCCTGTTAGGCCTGAAGTCACCATGACATGGGACTGAGCCTATGGTCATTAGCCCACGCCAAGGCAGACAGGACCATGGCCAGTCCTGCAGCCCTCGGCACCCAGCAGGCCTCTAAGGTCTTAGGGGACCACGAGAAGTGGTGTTAGAAGCAGTAGCCTCTAAAGCTCCCAGGATGTTCCCCACATCTCCTGACCTCCTGCAATCTGCCCTAAAGACCACATAGACCCACCAGGTCTCGCACAAGAGCATTAAAGAACTTAGCTGCAGGTGAGCCAGAATGACCACTTTGATGAGGCGGCTTTGGAAGGGTGGGCAGCAGTCACTGTGAGGAGGTGGACATCGCACCAGGCAGCGCCATTCGCTCCGCATGCAGTTGGACCAGCCCTGATCCCAGCATCTGACTACACATCTTTATGTCCTTATGTCCAATGTGCCCGTGTGGAGAAGCATGGGCGCATATGTGCTCTAGTAAAGCGTACGGGGCCTCCTCTGTTATTCTTTAAACTCTTGATGATCTGCCCACCCAGAGAGCCCGGTTCTCACACACACACACACACACATGCGCGCATGCACGCGTATGATTAATGCATTGATACGGCCACCGTCACCACATTCTTAGCAGCGCCATGATTCCAAGTCAAACCAGGGATCTCCTGACCACCGGCTGCCTGGCAGACATCAGTGGGCTCCTAACACAGATTTATCATGTCTGTTTCACCAGCACCTCTGTGCTCTCTCTCTTATGTTTTGTTCCATTGTAACTTCTATGCACCATGTTTTGTTTATTCATCATCTGTCCCTGGACTAGTCCACAGCCCATGAGTTTCCTGGATGCTGGGGACACCTTTAGTACCTCCACAGTTGTCCAGGTATGATACTCCAGCCCCTGGGGTTCAGGAAAGATGGATCTGAGGACATTACAAATCTTCCTTCAAAGAAAACCCATGTTCCATTTCTCCCTCTTCACAAATGGGTTCCTTCTCATCTAAATGGATGCACATAAAGAAATGTCATTGAGGTCACAGAAAGGGGTTTTGTTTTCCATCTTTTTCACTGCTCTTTGGAGGGAGGGTGTGATGTGTTGTCTTAAAGGCTAATATATAAAAAGAGAAAGCTGCTTTTCCTGAAACATGTTGGCAAAAATATCAGGGAAAAAATCATCAGAGAGATTGTGCAAGAGAGTGCTGAGGCCCCGCTGCAGCTGCATCATGAGCTCAGTGTGGTCACGTCAGTGAGCTCCAGCGTGACTGTGTCAGTGGGCTCCAGCGTGGCAGTGACTCCAGCGTGGCCGCATCAGTGAGCTCCAGCGTGACTGTCAATGAGCTCCAGTGTGGCCACGTCAGTGAGCTCCAGCATGGCTGCAGTGTGGCTGCGGCAGTGAGCTCCAGTGTGACCGCATCAGTGGGCTCCAGCGTGGCCGCGTCAGTGAGCTCCAGCGTGACTGG